TATTACCACAAACGATTTCATCAAGTTTTCGGAATCAGTAGGAATTACATGGAATTTTGTATAACTAGGTGAGAATGTATGCAGCGTATACGATTAGGGGAGAGAAAGCTGGGGAATTTCCTCTCTCTAAATTTTTTTGTCCATTATAGCTTTCTCCTTGGAAATTTTCTTTACAAATACTTGGCAGATTACAAAATTTAAGTGAATCAAGTGAGCTGTAAAAAAGGAAACCATTTATTTTCTCTCAGCCAGAAAGCTTTCACTCAATGTCGCAAGTAAAACCAGTTATTGTTTCATCAACAGAGTTAATCTACTTAGTAGCTGAGCGAAACTGATTAATTTTCTCTTTGAAACTGATGCATTTTCTCTTTAGACCCGAAATATTTTCTCTTTAAATTGAAACTATTTTCTCTGAAATTGATTCATTTTCTCTTTGGATCTGAACTATTATCTCTTTGAAACTGATCCATTTTCTGCTTGGATGATCCAAAGAGAGAGTGAATCGATTTAAAAGAGAAAATAATTTCGATCCAAAGGAAAATGATTTAGTTTTAGAGAAACTAATAGTTTAGATCTAAAGAGAAAATACTTAGGATTCAAAGAGAAAATAGTTCAGACTCAAAGAAATATTGAATCAGTTTCGCTCAACGATTTCGTAGATTACCTTTCTTGATGAAAGAACAACTGGTTTGCCTTGATATATTGAGTGAAAGCTTTCTAGGTGACGAGGGACCGTTTTCAACTGCCAAATTGCTTTTGAGTTCGGACTCTGTGCATAAGGTAGCCCTCACTGATGTATGAAAAACCCCATAAGAAGAAATCTCCTTAGGCCTTATGTATAGGCTTATAGGCATTTTATTGCAATTTCAGCCGATGGCATGATGTATACAAATGAATTGAATGATGGTATTTCGAGCTGAGAGTCAGTACATAAATAGGTCTATTAGAGAGCAAAATGTCCTGAAAATTTTAGCCAAAAGACTGTATTCTTCTCGAGATATTGAAGCGTCAAAAATTACTCATATTTCACGAAAGATGCTAGAGTTTTCTGTTTTTTTAAGGTTGTAATATCTCGAGAAGGAAATATTCTTTTGAGCTAAAATTTTCAGGACAGTTTGCTCACTAATAGACCTGTTTGTGCACTAAACCTCAGCTCGAAATATTGACCCTCAGTTTGTCGATATACATCATACATCTCTAGTCTTAATTCTGTCCATTCCTTAAGAAACCCTGAAAGGATCTTTCAGGATGCTGGATCTCAAGGATCTTGCCAAGTTTTCTTCGGATTCCTGATAATTCCTGTCTACAGAATTTTTCACGGATGATCAGAATCCTGTTTAGGATTTCTTCAGGTTTCTGCCCAGATTTTTTTCTAAGTCATGAATGCAGGATCCTGCTAGGATTCTATCATGGTTCTGCTTGCATCCTTTCAGAAATAGTAGAGAGGATTCTTTCAAGGTTTTATCAAGTTTTAGACAGCATCTGATCTGGATCCTTATACAGGGATCCATTCAACTATTTTAACTGAATCAGAGGAGGATCTTAATAAGAACCCAACAGATGGGTGTATTAGTGGCTGTGACTGTTAGTTAACATATGATGAACCTGTATTCACATTCAGAAGCACATCATGTTTCTGCTGAGAATCCTAATTGAATCCTGTTTCGAATCATGTGAGGATCTTGAAATTTCGTGGCTACACACTTCTTTCAGGATTTAGTCATTTCCTCAGGAAAAAAAAGAGCGAATTCTTGAAGGATCTTGATTAGATCTGTTAAGGATCTAGCACGGAAACAGCAAGGATTTCCTCTAAGGACAGGATAAATTTGCAGTAAAATGCTTATGAGTCTGGACATAAGGCCTAAGGAGATTTCTTCATATGGGTTTTTCATACATCAATAGAGTCTGCCTTATGCACAGAGTTCGAACTCAAAAGCGATGAGGCAGTTGAAAACGGTCCCTCATCAGAGAAAATAGATGATTTTCTTTTGCATAGTTCATTCGGTCCATTAAAATATTATAATCCGCTAAGTGCTTGTCAAGAAAATTTCTTAGCAGAACACTATAACGGAAGAAAAACTTTTGGAAGGGGGAAGGAGGCAGGAGAAATCTCCAATTCCTCCTCTCCCTCGGTAATCGAATGGCCTGCAAGTTTCAATTGAGAAAATATTTTACTGTAAAGACTCCATGCAAACAACTGTTTCTCTCTAGCTTTGGGAGACTTTCTTCCTTGAATCTTTCTCCCCCTAAGCAAAACCAAACGAAAACTATGGATGTATGTGATGAAGAAAGCTTTCTAACTGTATCGGAGCAGCTGAAAATGAGGACGAATAGAAGGGAATTGAATTACGTCAGCCACAGATTAGTGCGAAAGTCGCATGTTTATACTAAAACACATCATAACCAGATTACAATTAGGCTCGTATTTTACTGCTAAGTAATTTTAAATAAAAGCTAAGTAAAAAACTAAATTTTTGCTAAGTAATTTTTTGAAAAAATTCTAAGTAAAAAAAAGTATTTTTGCTAAGTTTTCTATTTTAATTCTAAGTAAAAAACTTCGATTTTCTAAGTGAAATATTGTCAATCTCTAGGTAAATATACAATTTTTGTTAAGTAAACTGACATGAATATCTAAGTAAAAAAAGTTAATTGTACAGTTATTGTATTAATAGAGCCTTTTTTGCTCCTCATTCTCTACTCAAATTAGTCTTATGATGCTTACGAAATTATTCAGAAGAGAGTTGTATCATGCGCAAAAAATTTGGCATAGGGTACGAATTCTCAATATGATAGACCATCTATAGAGATCACGAGAGTAAAATGCGTTGTTTATCGATACCTATGTATTCAATTTTTTTTTACAGATTTTGACTTACTTAAAATGGACTGTGCAGATCGAGTTCGTGACAATACGAATTCCATTTGTAGATTCCAAATATATCACAATCTTTTAAAACTCACTTAAATATTATCTTCGATCCTTTAATATTCATGTATTTTAAACAGTGAATAAAACATTATATTATTCAATTCAGAGCTGTCAACAGGCTACTTTTTTTCGGTCTACTGCCTGACGTGATCTGCAGGCTTTTCAGAGAAAAGAAAATAGATTTATTAAATATTTATACCAAAATTGTTGATAGAGTTGTACAATGTATCAGTCATTTTTCTCATTCACTAACAATAGTCTTGACCATATTTTTAGTTCTTTTCCACTCAGATGACGCACCCCCATCCGTCCATTAAAAAAATTAAAAGTTAGAAGATTGAGAGAAAAATACGGTTTTTTTTCTATGCAAGTAGATGTGTTTTTACAATAATTCTAACGTCAGCGTTATGGTTCTACGATACTAAATACAGAATTGTCAGAAGTAAATAATATCCGAAAAATAGGAAACATAGTCATCGTTGGTCAAAGCAATTACTTTATTTCTTTCTCTAATGAACGATGCCGCATTGCATTAATAGTCACTTCAGTTTTCGTTCTGTATTCATTCTCCTAGACTATTGAGACACATTCTGACTCAACCATATCCTCGCGCAAAAACTCAACAAAAGTCAAGTGGTTAATTAAGATATTCTGCCATCAAGAGTAAATGTAGACCTTTTAACTAACCTAAACCATCACAGTTAGAATCGACTTTGAATTGTCGCAGTTAGTATTAAATCAGAATGGATGAAAAAAATTTGCTATCATTAATAAACAATACTGCTACTCATTAGAAGATTCCGGCAAATGATACTTTGACAGTACTGTGTATCACAGGATTTGCATCCAATGATGAACACCAAAACACGCAAGAAATTGTTACAATGTAAAAAAAATATCGCTTTAAAATTAATAATCAAAGTCTAAAGTGAAGCTTTATATTTAAATATAAGAGTGTATTTTATATCAAGAAAACTAATTCTAGTCAGAATCTAACAATACATAAAAAAATTGACGATATGTTCACCAGATCAAAAACTTTGGCCTGGCCTGTAGGCTTAATCTGATTCGGACAGGAGTATGTCAGGCTAAAATTTTTGAAATTTGGCTGGGCAGATCATCAGACCAGGTTGGGAGCTCTGATTCGAGTCATTCTTTTCTTTTTATACATTAAAAACGATTATTTTAACTTATATTGTTGAATTTAAATTCTTCATATTACAAGAAGTATCGATAAACGTAGTCGAGCAAACTAATAGAAAATCTAATGTATAAGCATGTTGATCATTACCGAATATGACTTTGTAAAAAACATCTGTCATATGAATACGATTAAAGAAAAATGAAAAATAGTAAAACAAATCTATCGTACATCAGAAAGATAAATAAATATATGAATTCGTTAACCGTATTCTTCTCTTTTCTGTTTTAACATTTATAAACAGGCTTCCATCTCTTCAGAAACCAATTTAGATATCCTATATCGACGCATATGTTATATAAATTTTGAGCATCTTGCCTTGGAATTTACAGTCTATATTTTAACGTTCATGAAATAACACATGAGTTAAAAAAGATTAATTCTGTTAAATAAGCGAGCTGCTGTGAACAGCTACTGAACACTGTAAACTGATGTAAAAAAAAAACTGAAATTGTCTTATACATATTACTGACTTAGAATATATGTAGTTCCGTGAACGCGCTTTCACTTGTTTCAAAATTTCGTAATAACGCCGTTTGAACGAAATATTATTGTTAAAACGGCGTTGTTACGAAATCTTAACGCGTTATTTTAAAGGTTTTATCTGACTGGATAATAGTTAATTTATGTTTTATTTTATAAAGACTTAAGTTTAAAGCACAATAGAATATCGAAATTTGAGTAAAACATTTTTTTTTAACTGGTATTCTGCATAGATGACCTTCAAACAATATAGAAATCTAATGGAAAATTTATCCGAGAGAATTAGAATAATTTTTCATTCTTACTTGTTTTTCAACATAGCTTAGAAAATTGGTTGACCAAAGATTTTTCAAAATAAATATTTATCTTCTTTTTAAAGAATAGACCATGAGATCAATAAAATTATTATCTAGTGATGAACCACATGCACCATCTAGAGATGTGCGGCAACGAGCTTTTGTAATTCTGATTCCAGCAACTTCTTTCTTAATAGTTTCGATCATAGTTTCAGTAGTTCTGGTTTACAAGTGTTAGTTTCTAGTTTCATTTCTAGAAACACAAACCACATGCCGAATTCATGGATTATCTTATAGAAGAGTACAGGAACAAGTATACTGGTATCCCTATCATGTTACAAGTGATTTTAGTTTTGTGAGAATCAGTCCATACTGAGAAAGAACTATGCCACAGTTGATTCATATCATATCTATAAAATTTTTGTAAGTACTCGCCTTGCTGATTTAATCAGCCGACGAATGTAATTGTTTTGGTTTTCCTCTGAATTTTGCTTTGTTTTATACGATTTGTAACACAATTCCCTAAAAATGATAGATATTGTCTGAAGTATTTTATAAAAAAAAATACTTTTATTCGTTGATCTCAACTGATTTCCGACTTTCATATTTTTTATTTTTAAAATAACTGCCGTGACATTCGAATGATTCTGGTCATTTTAAGGACTGAAATGATTCAGATGATTTTTGTAACTCTATGATTTGAAAATCAAAAAAGTCGTTGAAGTCAGTCGTTTTTCTTTTGCTAGAACATGGGAGGCTTATTGAATTCTGGAAGATTCTGTATCTTTAATTAGCCTTTAACAATTCTATTAGCTGTTTTTTTTTGTTAGATAATTGTACCACGGATACTTATTGTGCTGCTAAACAGGATACAAATTATTTTGGTCTTTTTGTTATAAACACCATGTTGTCGTTTATTATTGTATCGTTTCATCTTGGTTTGTTCATCAACAATCCACTATTCATCAAACAATCCGTCATGCTCCACATCAAACCATCAAAAGTAAGTTGTTTATTGAAATATATATTATTTTGTTTTATTGCTGTCGATCATAATCCTAGACTCTATAGAGTTTTATGTTTTGATCTGGATTTGGTTCCACTATGGAGCCAAACAAACTTTCCATTATTGATTCCGGTTCTGATTCCATGAGTTGTTATTTTGGTTCCTGCTTCTGATCCTGAGTTTGGTAAACTTGTACTTTATGGTCATGGCTTCACTTATCGACCCAATAATGTTTTATGGTTGTAGTCCTAGATGGGATCACTTTTAATTTTTAGTCATGGCTCTTCTTGGCAAATTCATCAATTATTTCTTTTTAGTCCTGTTTCTGGTTTAGAATCTAAAACTGGTATATATCCATTTTTCTTGCTAGTTCCGACTCTCAAATGGTTGTAGTTTTACTTTCTGATTCTCGAATGGCTCATCGATTCAATAAATATTTAACTTTTGGTTCTGATTCTCGTTTTGGACTCAGAAATTTTTTATTTTTTGCTGGTTGTTCTAGTCCCGATCGAGAACAAGGTAATTATCTCTTTTTAGCTGCTTCTTCTGATCCTTCTCTTGTATCAAGTAATTATATATATGGGGGTGACCAACTTGACTGGTACCCCAAGATACAGAATAGGAAATGATATTATTCCAAGGAGTAGTATATAATGAATTTCATACCAAATGAAAGCTCGTCAAAAATGGGATTTATTAGTACTAAATAGTAGGGGTTTTGTAAACTGTGTAATGTCGAACTTAAGAAATTTTAAGAAATTTTTTACATTAAAAAATGTTAAAAAACTCACATTTTCTATATGGAAGAAAAACACGAGATTTTTCCATAAAATTAGCTTTTGTTCATTATTTCTATTACCTCACATGTTTCGAAATACGCTTATTCGGTTCATTATTTCTATTACCTCACATGTTTCGAAATGTATTCAACAGATGCAACGTGGAAAACTGAACAAAAGCTAATTTTATGGTAAAATCTCGTATTTTTCTTCCATATAGAAAATGTGAGTTTTTTAACATTTTTTAATGTAGAAAATTTCTTAAAATTTCTTAAGTTCGACATTACAAAGTTATAAAACCCCTACTATTTAGTACTAATAAATCCCATTTTTGACGAGCTTCCATTTGGTATAAAATTCATTATATACTACTCCTTGGAATAATATCATTTCCTATTCTGTATCTTGGGGTACCAGTCAAGTTGGTCACCCCCATATATATATATATGTTGTTAGAGTCTCGACGATGTATTCGACGAAGTTTTTTCGGCCTTGCTAACATTCCTGTATCCGTTAAATATTTATTTTTTGGTTTCAGTTCTAATTCAGATGAAAGTTTGTCACATCTCTAACTCGAGTGTCAGCGTCAGAATTAAGTGTGGGTTAATGTAAGACTGATATCTCGAGTACGGCATTAGCTAGCGACTTGTGGTTTTCACCATCCAAGAAAAACCACTCAGGCATATAATATGATCTCGAAACTTTATTGTTCAGCTTCTACCCAATCAGATGAATTCTTTGACAAGATTTTTGAAAACAATATATCAAGGTCATTTCTCTTTTGATTTAAAATTGTAATAAGACCAGAAGATAGAAAAACATGTTCTCTTTCGATCTACATAAGGCCCGCGTTCCTAGCTGCTTCCATTCAAGAGCTATAAGACTTTTCTGAGAGCACTGATTTCAGCTAATACACCTGTTATCACACCGGAAAGCAGCTAGGTAGGGGTAATTTATCATGCCAAGTCCAATGATGTTACTTATTCTTAGATTCGAATTCATCAGACACTGTTATTTCAATATTTCTGCGATGTCGACTTCTTTGTTACATAAAGGCAGAATATGAATTTGCAGAAATATTGAGATAACAGTAGAAATCCGCATCGGTACCAAAATAATTATCTACAATTGGTCCACAAAGTATCCGTCATTCTTAACGGTAATACGTTTTTCGAATATGCACCTTGTATAGAAATACTTCCTCTTTAAACTCATATATTTGGAAACACGTAATCATCCTACATGTCGGATATTTTGTCTTAAAAAAAATGGTTCCAAGTTTGGAACTGTTCTTTCTTAGTAAAAAAAATATTTGTCATAAAGGATGATTATGTGTTTCTAAATATATCAGTTTAAAGAGGAAATATTTCTGTACAGGATGCATATTCGAAAAACGTATTACCGTTAGAAATGAAGGATACTTCTTTGGCCAGTTGTAGAAAATTATTTTGGAACCGATGCAGATCTCTAGATAACAGCGTCAGATCAATTTGATTCCAAGAATAAATATATTATTACCAATTCCTGGGATATAGTATTTTTCATCAAATCCAACAAGTGATCACAAATTATATATTTGATATTTTAGGAACTCATTCGTCGATGGTCTACTAGTGCTATTACAACTTGTATGATAATTTTTTGGACTGGTACTCAACAACCATTGCCGAATGCTGAATGGGTGGCTATAGTATGTTATATTTTCACTTCCTTGAACGATTCTAATCGCTAACCCCTCATGTATTTGTGTCAAAAAGTATAGATTCAAGGAATTTCAGGGGGGGGGGGGGGAGGCGAAGTTACATGGGATAAATGCAATCCAATACTGGATATATTTTTGTTATAATGGAATCATTTTAGTCTGATTTTTGGTTGTTTTTTTTTACATGGGTAATTGAGTTTTATGAGTTAGTCCATGTAAGTCACGACCAAACTTGCTTAATCGAAGTCGTCCGATTTTGCTCAAATGAAGGTATATTGTAGAGGAAAGAGTTTTAAGATTTTTGCCGCAAGCCCTTTTAAAAAATATCAATCCCTCGATTTTTTATGAGCATTTTACGAAAATTCTTAAAAGTGACCATATTCAACAAGCGCAGTCCTAATGAGGTCTTACCTTATGAATGAATCAACCGGTTGAGCTGATTTTTTTTACAGACATGTATCTCATTGAGCCTCACTTACCATAAAATTTTTGTTTCAAAATTTTAAGTCATTGACATTTTATGAATCATCCAACATTTGAAAAAAGAAGATTTTTGCTAACTTTCGTGATTCATAATTTTTCGTTGGAATGAAATAGAGGTCTAAAATTTGTACCATGGATAGAGTAGTACAAGATATATCTCTTCTGAAACTCTCAGTCATCTATACTGTTCTGTTTGGTCCGATTAGTCCTGTCAAAAACTAATTTTTTGATAAAATTGCGATTTTCACGATACGTTTTCTTCCAAGATGTGCACCAGTTTGAGAGGTAATCTTTAGAAGTTGAAAGTACTCTTTCTATTCTACAACTTAGTAAAAAAAAACTAGAGTGAAATCTTCAGAAATGACTTGTATCGGAGATCGTCATTCAGAGTGCCGAGTAAGATATCGAGTCCCTCCTAATATACAAACCTCGTGAATGGATCATGCTATGAAGCTTAAGTTTTATCTATAAAGAGATCTCATTCAATACATATTTTGATGAGAAAATCAATTCTTATCGCTCAGAAGGCTTTGCACAAAATCATGATTTTGACAGGGTTGGATTATCCAGGTAACACGTTGTATAGAAATCGAGCTCGTGTTATTTTAAAGCACACACTAGGCACTGAAGGATTATGTAAAAATTAGCCCGAGCACTTGTAAAATGATCAGAAGAAATTTACTCGAGAATATCCAAAATAACACTTTTTTTCATTAAAATAGGCTTGAGCTAGCTGAGAAATTATCATAAACGTTTAATCAAATGAATAAATTCTATCCAGCATGAATTAGTACATGATCTTCTATTGATCATTATAAAAAGATTATCTGAAAATTACAAAAAAATATCTTCCAAAATTCCCGTAGGCGGGAAGGTATGGCCATTTTACATAAACTTTTTTTTTGTAATTTTCAAACGACTATTTTATGACGGTCAATAAAGGTTCATGTGGTGATTCAAGTTGGATAGAATTTGTCTCGGTTGATATGAAGCTTTCATAGTAATTTCTGATCCAACTCGACTATATTTGACTGGAAAAGGTGTCATTTTGGGGATTTTTGAGTAAAATTTCCGGATCAGTTTACAAAATCTCGCATTAATTTTTATATAACCTTTCAGTGTCTGTCGTGTGCCTTAATATGATACGAGCTTGCTTTCTATACGACCCACATTCTGGGTGATTCAATCCTGCGAAAATCGTGATTTTGGTGAAAGTAATGATTTTGTGGTAAGTCGTAAGTCTTCTGAGAGATAGGAACAACCCAGAGAGCTGATTTTTTTCACCAGAGTAAGTATTTAATAAGATCTCTCTATAGCTAAAATTTCAGCTCCATAGAATGATCCATTTAAGAGATTTGTTTATATGAAGATGTTAGATATCCAGCTCGGTGCTCCGAAATATAACCTCTAGTGCAAGCCGTTTCTGGAGATCCCACGCTAATTTTTTATAAGGTTGTAGGCCATAGAGAGTACTTCCAACTTCTAAATATCAGTTTTCCAATTAATCTATTTCTTGGGAGAGAGAGTCTATCGTAAAAAGTCCCATGTTTATCAAGAATCCCTTTTTGAGAGAACTACTCTAACCAAATGGAACGGTATCAATGGCTGAAATTTTCAGGAATGATATGTCGTTTAGTCCTCTATCCATGATAAAAATTTTACAACTTCATCTCATTTCAATCAAAAATCATGAATTACGAAATTTATTAAAAATTGTCTTTTTTCACATGTTAAATGATTCATAGAATCCCAATGGTTGAATATCTTGAAAAAAAATTTTATGATAAATAGGATTCACTGAAATATATGTCGGTAAAAAATTTCAGCTCAATCTGTTGAGTCGTTATAGAGATAAGACCGCATCAGGACCCCTTGATGAATATGGTCACTTTTAAAAGTTTTTGTAAGATGCTCATAAAAAATCGAGGGATTGATATTTTTAGAACGACTTGCGGTAAAATTCTTAGAACTCTTCCCTCTACAATATGTCTTAATTTGAGCCAAATCGGACCATCTTGATTAAGCAGCTTCTATGAAAATCGATGGTAGCTTATGCGGACTGGCTCTTATAAGATATAGGACATATTGAAGATATTAGAGAAGACAGTGATATGAAAGACATTGAAGATTGCTGAACTCGATGAAAAGTATTCTTTTTTTTTTTAAATAGTGTTTGATAGAACAATTAAACAAAAACAATAGTTAAAAATTGAAAATGATTATGTGCTGAAAATGAATGTATTTTTTAGACTTTTTGTATCATATGCCTGCTCCTTCAGGTATCATCTGCTTATTATATAACATCAATGATTACAATAACTAATGGTGCTGAACATGTTCCAATGACACCTCCATCACCATTAGAATCACCATCGCATAATCCTGCTTCGACATTGTTATGACATTTTTTTTTCGTTCGTTATTACATTTTCGTTTCTTCGTTCTTATGGTCTTTCTTGCCATGTTATGACCCACATCGAAAGATATAGGTCATAATAATTTTTTTTTTCTTCTTTTTATTTCTCTGTTCATCATGTCTTTCAGTTTTCTATTAACATGTTATTTTCTTTGACATAGCAAAAACAGTCTTATTTACTTTTTCTTGGTTTCTTCTTTTTATTTCTCTGTTCATCATGTCTTTCAGTTTTCTATTAACATGTTATTTTCTTTGACATAGCATAAACAGTCTTATTTACTTTTTCTTTTTGCATTTTAGATATCAGTTAATTATTTTTATCTGATTCTTGCAATTCAATCTCGTCAAATATTCACTATGTAAGTAGATTCGTAAATATTTATTACGCAGCAATTTTTTTTGAGTTCATGATGTAAATGAATTACAAAGTAATTAAAAAATGAATTATAAAATGATTTGTTTCTTAATAATTTCTACCATATTTATGGTAGGATCTGTCAGAGTTTGAGTCATTTCGTGGTATCCATATCAAGACATTGGTAGATTCTATAATATATATCGATAAAAATTAATAAGAAACGAATTATTGTGTAATTCATTTCTTTTCAATTACTTTGTAAATAATTTACGTCATCCAATGTCTTGAAGATTTATTGGTAGTATATCAATGTGTTTCTATGTTTTTACCATATTATTACATGTGTTGTGCTCATATCATTATTATTTGTTAGTTATATTGATAATATTTCTAATTTCCAATTCATATGTATCATTTCTCCAGCTACCTAGCAGGAACACTAACATATGCCAGAATAGAAAAAAGCGAGTTTTTTCCCTTCCGAAAAGTCCGAGATTCATCACTGGTAAACAGTTTAGATACTGAATTTTACGAACATCACTTCTATCAGAAGAACGTTGATATCTGTGACATGAGGATCAAAAAAAGCTAAAGATTATTGGAATACTTTTATTTGGTAATAAGACAATAAATTACTTTTAGTTATGTTTGTTTCTAGTAAAATACGTGATTGAACAGTTAAGCCTTTATCCTCATTAATCAATATTTCATCGTTTGTATGAAACGTAAACTAGGAAGAATATTGAAGTGTAGGGATGAAAATTTGAATTCTCTCACCTCCCTCCCCCGTCCCTCTCCAATCGCAGACCACGACAGGCATTGCCTCAAAAGTGACGTTTATTGTATATTTTGATATGTTACTAAAAGAGAAACTCAAGAGTTTATAGGCAAACTAAATAGACCTAGGGTAATACTGATTTAATTTCGATTGATAAAGCAACGATAGTATGGAGACATGAGATATATATACTTTAACCGATTTTTTTTGAGCACACATTTCTATTAGTGGCAACAACTATTTTGCCTTTCACACTTTATTCTCTCAAAGATTACACTAATAGCTTGTTTTTATATTTCAGAATGTTAATTCATATTTAAAGAGCTACAGTATTAATTTATTCTGAAAGTATATCTATTGATATCTTTTACATGACATAACATAACATTGATGTCAGCATACGTAATATATATATATGGGCGTGAACAGTCAGTGGGATACCCCGGTTTGCTTTCTTTCTATTATTAGTTGAAACCCTAATCATATTCGGACCAAATTATCACCCTCATTGCTAAACTACTAAATTTAAAATATTAGCTGCTGATGACTGTCTTATATCCCGCTGGAAAAAAATAGTTAGACTTGCATTTCAAATATATTTCCACTACAAGACTATACTTTTTTAAAAGTAATTACATATTCCGAAAGCCCGTGGAGTTTTCTATCACTCTGTATAATTAGGTTTTAGTTTCGACCTATTCATTATCAAAATAAATTGAGGACAATGAAAGCACCCTCATGTCTAGATTCCCCACAGGCAGGATTTTGTATCCTCAACTAGTTTTTTAAACTTTGCGACTATAGAAATACCCCTGTAAAAAAAAGTAATTATGTATTCTGATAGAGCTTGAAATTGTCTATCATCCCATATATTTAGTTATTGGCTTACATTTATTTGTTGAACAATAATTTGAGTACAATGAACGTACCCTCAATCGACAAGTATCAAAAATCTGCATTTTTTCGCCACTTTTTTTAGTTTTCCCTCCAATTATTATTCCTATAGGAATGATTTTTTCCAAAAGAAATTACATATTCTGATAGTGCTTGAAATTCTCTATCATCCTATGTATTAATGTAATGTCTTGAATTTAAATAGCGAAAAAAATGCAGATTTTTGGTACCTGTCGATTCACGATGTGTCATTGTACTCAAATTTTTTTAAAATAAATCAATATAAGAAAATAAATAAATATACAGGATGATAGAGAATTTCAAGCTCTATCAGAATATATAATTACTTTTCTCAAAAGATGGTTATATAGTGATAAAAAATTAAAAAAACTAATTTTGACGACAGTGACAAAATCAAGTTTATGGGAATCTGGACATGAGGGTGCTTTCATTGTCCTCAATTTATTTTGATAATGAATAGGTCGAAACTAAAACCTAATTATACAGAGTGATAGAAAACTCCGCGGGCTTTCAGAATATGTAATTACTTTTAAAAAAGTATAGTCTTATAGTGAAAATATATTCGAAATACAGAGTCTAGCTATTTTTTTCCAGGGGAATATATAATTATTCAGTCCCTTAAAAACGATAGGACACGATTTCAGGGACTGAATAATTGCATATAAGACAGCTATCAGCAGCTAATATTTTAACTTTAATAATTTAGCAATGAGGATGATAATTTGGCCCGAATATGGTTAGGGTTTCAACTAGTAATAGAAAGAAAGCAAGTCAGGGTATCCCAGTGACTGTTCGCACCCATATATATATATATATATATTTGAAGCTAGAGATGTCCATCGCGGCTCAAAATCTGCCGCTGCCGCGATGGTATTCGAAAAAATGTTTTGATTTTCAAGGCTGTGACTGGCTTGAACTAGAACTGGTGCCGCTAATCGATCAGATCCGTTAAGTCTTACAGTATAACATACATGAACATGCAGATCCTGTGCCAATACATAAATTTTGAAATTTTTCCTAAAAACGCTGTCGCGACGGCAGCGCCGTGATGGACATCTCTGTTTGAAGCCTCAGTTTTTCATCACCTGATTGAACTCTAATTTATAGGTCTTGAATAGAAAATAGATTAAATGAGAAACGATGAATTGTTATTTGTACTTGGATCTTCTAAAAATGCGTAATACTATGTTATACTTCAATTCTTTCTATTTTTTTAGAAGAAGTCTTGTTTAATTTGATCGATTATGGCATCATTGTCAATCAATGAAATTAATAAACAAAATGTATCAACTCTTTTGTTTGTAAATCAACAGCCACAAGCATCCTATGTATTCAAATATGTAAGTAATCACAGTTTCTTGCTCATCGATTTCTTCTGTATGAATTGAAATCATGTATTTATTACGATAGTTTCATTATTTGTCAGACTTATACAATAAAAGAATTTGTCCCTTTGTGTAAAGCTTGGAATAAAATTGCAATCTTTTTCTCATTTTTTAGTATGATTTGCAGAAATTTGAAGGTTACTTTTTTCTTTAAAATGATGTCATTTACAATATATATATATATATCTAGTATAAACTTTGATTTTGTCATAAACATTGGATTTTATAGATGATTCTCGTTGAGAAAAGTTTTTCCTTTCGAATATTTTTTTTAAACATATATATTGGGTTCTTCTTGAAAATCATAGCATGATCAGAGTTGAATTAGAATTTTTTCGACAAGAAAGGTCACTTATAGAATAGAGACTAACTTTAATCATGTATTTTCATTCTCAATAATGCTACGGGATCTGGACAGTTGGTCGCGGACAGTTGGTCACTAGGACATTCGGTCGCATAATATAAAGTAGGAGCAACATGAGATGCAAAGAAAAAATTGAACATTATTTATTATATTATGAATAATTAAACAGAAAACACTACAGAAAAAATTTTGAACAAGGATACAACAGAAATCTAACAAGTATAACAAATCTTTGAATAGTGCATAAGACAAAAAAATACAAATTTTATCGAGACAATAAACGTCCCATGCACATTAATTGATCATAAATATTTGGATGTGGATTATCTACCAGTTGACGAAGTCTTTTATTAAACGATTCATATATTCCTGCTGTTGGCTGTCTTCCTGTCATCGCATTAAGGATGCCCGAATGAATGTTATTTTCTTCTTTTATTAATTTGTCACATTTTCAAAGAATTTTTGTTACACTTTTCCGATCGATTGTATACGAGTAACCGTTGTATGTTAATAAAGTTGTGTTTTTAGAAGTTTTTGTTAGAGTAACAGACATTATTACTGTCGTAAAATGATTTTGTTTATTTTGAATAACTTATTATTATATATATATTGTTAAATAAAAATGATCATTAAATTAGAATCATCAATTTAAACAATATTGAAATAATCAAATCAATTACTTTATCACGATGATTATTCTTCTATACGAAATTAATTTATTGTATCAATGTTGTGCGATATTGTATTCATAATCCTTGTGAAAACTTGCACAGCGACCATCTGTCCTAGCGACCAACTGTCCTGCGACCAACTGTCCTAGACTCAATGCTACATCAAACCTAATTTGAAGATGAACAACGTAGTTTTTCCTGCAAATATTATTATTGATGTAGAATACATATAAGAACTAATTTTTTTCTATTGTATATTGAAATTTTTGTATAAGTTTAAATTTGATTTTTCATCAAGATCATTCAAATAGAAGAATATAAATTGATTCAAACTGTGAACTTTATTTACTGAATTGAATGAGCTAAATTAGTTAACATTAATTAAAAGAAACGGAAATTATAAACAGTTTTTAATAGGAACAAAATAGACAGCTGCGATGTTCATCTTTACAAAGAGAAAACTCAGGCATATAAATAAACTGTTGAAATTTTATTGATCAGTAGTAAACTAATCA